GGGCGTCCACACCTGACAGGAGAACGACTCGGGTCCTCAGGCAAAGCCTTCGATTAAATATATACCCGAAACGCAGTAGGTCTAGCACATGGTCAGTTCACCGATTCATGCGGATTGGTCTCCTGGATCTTAGTAGGGAGAAGGGCGTAACCCAACTTCCATTCAACGGTCGCCACGAGAAGGCGTCCAGGACATGAGCCCACGGCACAACAATAGCAGCTGTGGGTAGACCATCTGTCAAGATTTAGCCACCTCCGGCCTCAGCGCACCATATATATATGTATATATATATATATATATATATACATATATACATATATACATATATATATATATATGATTGGCGGCATCCGGTTTCGGATTTGCCTGTCACTGTGGTCAACCACAGGACGCCTGCGCCTACAGAGGGACCATAGATTGCTTGCGCTGCACCACCCACAGCTCCATCCACACACCCCATATCCAATGTAAACCCGAAGGAATAAGACCGGGAGGCATGCGGATGGGAGCCACGTTTCATCAACGGAGCCGGCCCACACTCCTTCACAAACAAAAGCATGCTGTATTTAGGGAATCAAGTGCACACAAGGCGGTGGCTGGACCGTAGTCCGCTCCACACTCAGTGCATGGAATCACTCTTCGAGCCTAGCACGACCACAAGCACCGTGCACCCCTTCCCCTCCAGCAACGACCAACTGTCTCCTGGAGCCATTATGGACGAGTTGGTGGGTAATAGACAGGTAGGCACGTTGTCAACATACACATCAAGCGCAGCCACACCTGGGATGTCAAGCAACAGCTAATCATTCGAAATGCCGATATCGATTAAAGTAAACGCGTATGACGACATAAATACTCGCTAAATGAGCATATAGAAGAAATTGGTTATAAGTGAATCCGTGATAAGTACCAAATGTTCGAAAGTTATTTAAAAAATACCACACGCTAAAATTACGCAAGTTTACCACAATTCCCGTGAGCGACGTGTGCAAGTAAGGAGAAGATTATCAAGTACGCAGAACAAACCAAATAACATGTAATGTATTTTATCCACATTGAAAAGACCTAGTTTAAATGTAAGTTGGTTTAGCCCAACTGCGGTGGAGAAGCATCATGAATGCGACATCATCCTTAGCAAGGGGAATGTAGGGCATATATATATATATATATATATATATATATATATATATATATATATATATATATATATATATATATATATATATTCTGACAGCAACTGGAAACTTACGATACGACAGAGAGTACAACCCCAGTCTCTTCCATCGGTCTTCGTACGACTTACCAGGTAAACTGGGATGAGTCTGATAGGTATATGTTGGACAAGTCCCAGTCTCTGTAGCTCGTCAGGAGTGAGCGGACAACGAACTGGTGACTCGAACTTGAGCAAGGCTCGTACGATGGGAGAAGAGACGAGTGACAGACTTTCGGATCTGGTGCAGGTGCGTTTGAGTGCCCGTAGCATGCGCAATACGTTTCGATATATCCTGTTCGTGTTGTCAACGGAGTTAAATTTGCAGCGTTACAGTACGCCGAGATATTTCACGGAAGATGCGGGATGCAACGGATGGCCGGCGAGGGTGTAAATACGCCCATCACCACGATTCCGAATGCTTATACATTAAGAGTTGGCCGGGTTGATTGGCAGATCTAGATCTGCACGCCATATGCGCAGACGGTCGAGGTCGTGCTGAGGTAAATCGCAATCTTTGAAGGCATGAATTATTCTTCATACCTTCAGGTCGTCCGCAAACTGAGGTACTTCTTTGATATGGGTCAGGAACAAAACGGGACCCATTATTGTGTCTTAGGGTACGCCACTAATAGAAGGAAACCAGTCAGCTAGAAGGTTATCCCACCTGTACTGCCCACTTTCGCCCAGTAATAGTCACTGATCCACTGGTGCAGTGAGCTATCAACACCGCAGTTCATGATCCGACTGTCTTCGTTCAGGTTGTAGAACGCTATACTGAAATCAATGTTGAGCACGCCGACTGTGTTCCCCCGGTTCAGCGTTTACAACCATTCACGATACATCACTAGCAAGTTGGTGGTGCTTGAGCGGCCACTCAAGATAGTATTCTGTGCTGACGTCAGGTCTTTCAACTCCAACAGCTGCAGCCGACCTTGTTTCATGATCACCTCGAGTATCTTGGCTAAGAAGGAGATCAGACAAATCGACCGGTAATTGTCCACTTTAACTAGATCACTGTCTTTCAGAAATGGTTTCATTATAAAGCATATCCAATCATTAGAAAAGGAACCTTTGGACAGCGATCTGTTGAACAGTTCAGTCACGGACGATGAGACGACAGCGGCTTGAAAATCAGCGAGTGGAGCTCGTCAAGACAGACAGGCTTCGTACCGTCAAGACTGGCAAGTAGATTGCGTAAATCTTATACACTGGAATCCACGCTGTCGAGTTCGGTTGTGGTTGCACCCGTCCAAATCGGTACAGGTGCATGGACATTTGCTAATACGGAACCGAAGTGCGAAGCCAATGCGAATGCACGCTCAGTGCTTCAATTAGATGCTGAACCCTCTAACACCGCTAGATCACCTGCACGCGCTGCAGTTACAAGTTGCTCCTCGAACTACATAAGGCGTGTGTGCTTTCGCACTATATATATATATATATATATATATATATATATATATATATATAGGACTCCGGTTTGCTTGCTAACTGGAACTCCTTCGGACGGTGTCGGTATGGCCAGTCTATGGCGTGAGTGGAGGTTATTTAGTAAATAAATGAATTCACTGACTGTCAACTCTGTCTCAAGAAAATTCTCTATGGCTTATCGCGATATTACATCATTATCGGGTTGCGAGCATCTGTCACACGCCATTGCGACTAGCAGTATACTTCAGAACAAGAGATCTAAAAGTATTCAGCTGAATGGAACATACAATCAAAACCTTGCAAGTGGGGCTGTTCCTTTCCTTTGGGTGTGTCATATAACTATAGACGAACATGAATGCAATTAACTGTTCGGCAGGTACAAATTCTGCTTCGTGTGGAACTGTGGTTTGAGGAATTATATTTTATAGTACACGCGTAATTTTCGTTGGAAAACTCAATACCTCGGTACCCAAATTGCTATTTTTTGCGTCACTAGCGCTATGCTTATCGATCCCTCACTGTCTTCGAGGAGCAACAATGGTTACTTCCAGTGGTCTGCAAAGCATTCCGCTAGAGACCGATGTTCTAGGTTCTTTGCTCAGCATTTTCGGAAGGACGTTTACTCAGTCTTTGTTCTGTCCTCAAACTGATCTATCAATGCTACAAAAATTATGGCGTGTTTGCTACGTGTCCCACTTTTGATGGCTCTAATTTTTGTCAGCGATCACTCAGTTGCAGTGCGCTCATCTCATTCGTCATCATTGGAATATTAGCAAGGCGGTAGTAGCCACAGGTCACTTGAGCCCCTGCGACTTTGTTGTTATACCCAAGATGCCAGTCACTGCACCAGTTGAAACCGTCTGTCACACCTGCGGTGCTGCTTTTTGCACTTAGCGTTCGTTTCTTCCCCCCCCCCCCCCGCCGATAACACTATTTGTTTGGTGATGTGAAATGGAATAGCCAATCAGCTGTTTGCCAGCCTTTGAACTGTGCTTATCGCACTTCCAATGCGCCTCTCTATTAACAGTAATGTTCTTTTTATTGTAGCACTGCAAGTGGCTAATTACTTGAAACGAATGATCTAAGTTCGTTTGCTGTAAGTCACATACTATCTGTTTACTGAAACAATTTGACTACGCGGAACAGAATTTAAATCCAATTACATCTTGTTTTTATGTCACTTAAAAAGTAGGGAAATGGGGCGCCGATGCACAACGAATGAAACCTACTGCGATCTAGCTGCTTAAGAGTTATCATTGGGATCTCACCATTGCTGGACATTTTCTGGAGCTTGCCTTCCCTTCCCTTGCTTTACTTATCTAGAGAATTGCATCACGGCTGATGACGATGTCGGAGATGAAGGCTCACAGCGGATTACGAAGGTTAGCCTTGCATTAATCAAACTGAGACATCTATGTCGTCGTCGTGATGTCAGTCTCAAGCTCAAGTGCAGGGTGTGCAATGCTTCCGTCCGTGTAGTACTCTTGTACGGCTGTGAGACGGCCTATTCGCTCGGAAGACATGAAGCGACTGTCAGTCTTCGACAGTCGCTGTCTACGGAGGATTGCTCGGGTGTGGTGGCAACACCACGTAAACGACGCAGAGATGCAAGACCGCGTGATTGAGACGAATAGTGCCAGTCTTCAGTACGTTATTCTCCCACATCGCATGCATTGGCTCGGGCACGTTTTGCGCATGCCAGGCCATCGCCTACCATGTCGCGCTAATTGCACTGCTAGGGAGCGATTGGAAAAAGTGCCGCGATGGACAGCCAATGTCGTGCAGTAGGAGCATAAAGAAGGCAACCTACAGTTTGGCGGCAGTCGGACCAGTCCGTCTTCCATGTCGGGGACCACGAAATGCTGAATCTCAGTGGTTGGAAACATTCGACGTCATGGCCCGCAACTGACATCAGTGGCGTCAATGTGGTTCTTCCATCATATCCCGCCTTTAATACACACAAGATACTCACAAAACAAAAATAAAAACTTCAAAATGGCGTGTGTGAAACCAACAAGACATTTTCCCTTTTTTAATCGCATCTCGTGTTTCTACCCTCTCCGTTTTTTTCTAACTGTCATGGTTCTGCTGGCACAATGTCTGTTAACAGACTGTGTATATGCACAGTCTGTTAACAGACATTATGCTACGAGAACCATGGCTGTGACCAAAAAATGGAGATGATATATATATATATATATATATATATATATATATATAGTTTGGGATCTCGCAAAAACATGAGTTTGCGCGTAAGGACTAACTTTTATATCATCCCTGTTATAGTTCGCCCTGTTTTATTTCATTGTTATTGAACATTGTCATTTCTCCTTTTAGACTTCAACTTCCATTCGTAATGATAGATGAACTGGCTGATGTGCCAATTGAAGGTACTTTGCTCCCTATCTACGACTGTTCATCTCAGGTTCTGCTTTCATCCGCCACTTTTCCGAACCGTTCGAACGCGTTGCTTCCACAGAACTCATTTATTCGACCGCATTTGTGGTAATTCCACTTATTCACCTTGCTTGTAATGGCGTTTTCTAGGATCCTTACTTGGGATGGTATAAATCCACTTCTAGGCGCTCTCATTTTCCCTTCTTGACAACAAAAAATGTAGGTTCCTTTTATCATTCCTTTTTTTATTCCACAAAGCCGGTAGAACCCAACATAGACAACCACGTTGCTGATCTCTACAAAATGATCGATAATTACGAGGTTTAGTCCATACAATGAATAATAATCGCCTTTAAGGATTTGCTGTTTTGTCGCAACCGTCCAGGAACTGAAGACATGCGACTTGTTTATTGTGCTCACGTTATTAATCATTCACTGAGGTGGGACTTCCATCTTTTTAACCTCTTAGATCACGAAAGCTGATCGTAAAAAACAATGAACGTGAGCAAAAGTTTGGCCCTTCCGAGTGAGCATAAATTCCTTTTTACTGTCATATATGGCAGACGAAGTCTGCATCCAATGAGGTTTTTTGTTGTCGTTTCGTCCATTCCACAACCGCCTTATATGGGGTTGGTCCAGTCACCTTAACACGTTGCTGTTATAACCAGCGATACAAATCATGCTAACATTGAGCGGAATGGATAAAGAAAAACCATCAGCTTGAAAGAAGAAAGGACGCGCCATATCCGATAGGGTTTCAAACCAATGATACGACAACTCCTTAACACCGCATTCGAGGAGACACGAAACATCATCTCCACTCAAGCTGCAATATATATATATATATATATATATATATATATACCAAGGCAGGAGAGCCCATGGTTCGCGGCGACTTGTGGTGGCGAAATCCTGGCAGATCGTCGACCCGCTGATACTAATGTTACGCAGTAGGCTCACGTCCTGAACGCCTCGTGGCGACCGCTAGGTGAGAGTCGAGTAACATCCTTCTTCGAGCTAAGGTCCAGGATACACAATTACGCGTCAATCTGCTTCCCGACTCATGGCACTCGGCCCGCTGCCTTTCGGATGTATACCTTATCGAAATCTTTGGCAGGACCCGAGTTGTTATTGTCAGGTGTGAATGCCCTGGCAGTATCCTAGTCCAACCCCAAAAATTTGAATTACATCAATACTAATAAATCCATGCTGCGTCGGCCGTCGCGCAGTGGCTTTAGGAAAAGGGTCGCGTTATCTGCCGCATACAGCGAGGTTGATGAGCGAGAACATGCTACTGCTAGCCCCTCCCTTCTTACTTCTTCTCCTGCACTTACTCTCGCCGTCCCCGTTTCACCTAACACACTACTCCCTCCAATCTAGGTCGACACCACCCGCACGGTTGCCCACCAATGCAATCCTTTGCCTGCGCGCAAAGCACTCAACATCGGGTGCTGATCCGTGAGCACACTACTGCACCGGAACTCAAGTGAGTTCCCCGAGCGACGCACTGCACTGGTCGCGATGCACCTGATGCGCTGCAACATCGATATTGCGGCGCTCAGCGGGACCCAGCTCGCTGAATGAAGCTGATGCCGGTTATACGTTCTACTGGCTGGGGAACGCCACTTCAGCACCATTTGAACATGGGGTCTAATTTGTACTATTCGATCGTCTAAGTGGCCATCTGTTGGATTATCCGACTGACGTTCGCGCGCGACTGATGTCTGTTCGCCTACGACTTGGAAGAAGTAAGTTTACCACTTTTCTAAGCACAGTCTGACACGCGTGATCGATTCTACAACCAGCTATGCTCCGTGATACGTTCTGTGCCGAGGAGCGACCGACTATTTCTGCTGGGTGATTTCAACACGTGCGTTGGGCTTGATGCATCAGTGTGGGCAGATGTCATCGATCCGCATGACAGTGGTTCTGCAAGTGCTAACAATGATTGACTGCTCTCACTGTGTGCCACCCAGCCTGACGATCACGAACACTCGGTTTGCACTGAGTGCGAGTGATAGCACCCACGGAGTGGTCACACTCACCTGCTGGACTATGCCATCTTACGCCGTCGTGATATGCGTGAAGCGCGCATGACACGTGTACTGCGTGGAGCTGAGTATGGCACTGATCACAACTTGGTGCTGACTAAACTGTACTTATATTTTCGTAAATCTGTGTGGTGCACTCCTTCCATGAACCGGCGAAAATATAGCGTTCTTTCCCTAGTAACTGTGGACAAGCGTATTGAGCTGGGGAAGGCGATGCCCGCACGCCTGTATGATGTGGAATGCATAGCCACAGTGGGCGACCTGTGGCACCACATTCGCGACCAGGTGACAGCGGCTGCAAAAGAGACCATCGGGCGCGCAAACTGTAAGCGGCCTGATTGGTTTGATGAGAACAATGCGACGATTGACACATTGGTGTCGGGGAAGAATGCAGCATTTGCTGCACATGTGGCAGACTTCATTGACTTGGGGAAGAGGAATCCGTTTTGCACAGTTCATCGGCGACTAACTCGAGAGCTCGGTCGCATAAAAATGCATGGTGGACGGCAAAGGCGCAGCAAATGGAATGTTACGCCACCGACAAGGAATTCTTTGACTCCTTGAAGGTGGTGTACGGACCAAGACTGGAGCCGCTGAGGACGCTTATCGATGGCAGCTCAGGCGCTACCTGTACATAGACTGCAGACATAATACAGATCTGGCGGAAACAATTTGACTGTCTCTTTAACAGCCGCTCGGAGATCGACTAGCCTACTTTGAACGGCATGAAGCAACACGATGTGAAGATTAGTTTGGCGGACACGCCGACACTGGATGAGACGCAGAGCGCACTTTCTCAGCTACGAAACAGCAAGTGTGCCGGTGCCGACGGGATCACGCCTGAAGTGTTGAAACACGGCGGACCCGCGTTGACGACTGCGCTGCACCACTTGGTGCAACGTGTATGGATTGAGGATGAGGTGCCTCCTGAGCTGAAGGATGCCCTTGTGCTATCACTATACAAGCGCAAAGAGAGCGAGCAATGTTGCACGAAGTATCGTGACATCAACTTGCTGAGTTGTGTGGGCAAGGTGATTGCCCGAATCCTACTCAACCGCCTCGTCAGTCATGATGTGAAACCTAACGTGGCGGAGGAGCAGTGTGAATTCCGCTCGGGTCGTTACAGCATGGATAAGCTGTTTGCGGCTCGTCACTTGCAGGAGAAATGCAGAGAACGGCACCAGCCATTGTACTCGCTCTTTTTAATTTCACCAAAGCATTTGGTGCGTTGAACCACTAGTCATTATGTCTGGTGTTGGCTAAGTTTGACTGTCCGAGGTAGTTCGTAAGTTTAATTAGATATCTACACAATGGTATGCGGACGAGGGTTCAGCTGAGTGGAGAGACCTCGGATGACTTTGCGGTTGTCTCTGATGTGAAGCAAGGCTGTGTCGTAGCTCCTGCCCTCCTTAATATGTATCTTCATGCATTGATTTCTTGTATGTTACCTGCGGCTTGTGCTTACGGTGTTCGTGTGGAGCACCGTATTGATGGTGCGTTGCTGAACGTCCGTTGTTTCCGTGCGAGAACCCTAGTCTGTGAGACAAGTATTCGCAAATCAGCATTGGTGATCACGTATTGAAAACCACCGCTTGCTCTTGCTACCTCTTGAGTTTGGTTTCATGTTGAATACTGCCTCTTGTATACGTCAGGTTCTAACAATGTGATACCAACTCTCCTAATCGGATGAACGAACGAGACTCAGAATTATTTTCTCGCACAGCACGGTAACTGACAATCTCGAAGTCTGTGGGTTCTCGGAACTTAGCCGCGAAAGATTTAATTCACGCGAGTCGAACAGGTTCCTAGACCGAGCGCAAAGTTTCTACGCACGATTTCCCAACCCAAGGACTGAGTCAAGAACAAGACAGGCCTTTTGCCACAGACGCTTTTACTGGCCAAAGCTAAGGCGATTCTAGCGTTGTACAGCCTCATTTTTATATCACGAAACGGTGATGAAGAGGGTTTTCCCTTGGAAAAGGTTTGCGTAAGCAAACCCTGGAAGCAAGAAACATGGTTTTATGTAAATATGCAAAGTCCGTAAGCTGAGCGGGAATGTTGGAAGTTTGGCGAGAGTTGTCCGGAAAATAGATGTTGCTTGGATACAACAACGAGTGTTTAGTTGGAAACGAGACTCTTTCTGGGTGCAAAGGCTAACGAATGTGAATGTTTCACGAGTTGAAAGGCTGATTGAACGTGTGCGTTTTGTCTGATCCTAGTACATGTGCACTTCTGTGAATCGGGTTTTCAGCCTTCCGTAATTTAAGTCTGTAATAATTATAGGGATGTTGGGTCCCCATAACATTTCAGATGACCAGCTGCTTCACAGTTAGCTTCGGGTTCGCTTATTAAGTGCATTGGCAGCATTGGGAAAGCTTGGGTAACGAGTGTGGGACAACCACCAGCTTACCGTTGATACGAAGCTGATGGTGTCCAAATCCATGGTACTGTCCGTTCTTCTGTGCAGCAGCGTAACGTGAACGGTGTACCTGCGGGATGTGCGATATCTCTAGCGGTTTTATCAACTGCGTCTACGATGGATTCTGCGCATCGGTTGGTGCGACAGAGTTGTAGTCACGAAGCTGTTGCGCAGTAGTGGAATTTTTGCTGTTGACTGTATACTTTTGCTGAGACACTTGAGATGGCTGGGTCATGTGTGGCGTGTGGATTCGACGCGGATACCGAAGCAGCTGTTCTATGATAAGCTGAGTGGGAGGAAGGGGGATGGGCGGAAACCGCATCTTCGTTACCAGGACATGATCGCATTGAGCCTCTCACGTTCTAATCTTGATTGCAGGTCATGAGAATCGAGAGTGGTTAATCATCGTGCATGGTGCTATCTAATCACATAGGCAGCTCTCTAGATGCAGTAGAAAGCGCTGGCGTATGCAGAAAAGAAAAAACAGTTGCGGAAGCGATGGTTGCTTTTGGAGTGTACTTCATCGACGTCGAGCGCATGGTGCTGTAGCACATGCTGTCGCGAGTGCCTGAGTCACGCAGGCCTAGTGAGCCATGAGCGAGGCCACTCTAGACCAGTATCGAAACGACGACGGGTGCTGCCGATAAAGTAAGCAGAACCGGCGCAGCGTTGGTAGGTACGTTGCATGCACTTTCCGTTCGACTTACTAACTACGTGTTTGGGTGCGGTGATTCTGTATTCCAGGTGACTTATTTTCTTATCTCATTTTAATGTCTACTCGAATAATATCCTTGCACACCTTGCTTGAACGAAGAGAGGTTAACTTCTTCTATCTTTTCTCCTATGTTGCATATGTT